AGGGGTGCCCCGTGTCGACAGCCTTCAGCCCAGACAAGTCAATGACTATACAGTATTGAGATGCCTTGTCAGTAACCAATATTTTTAACTTGAGATGCCTGCCCGGTGGATGCTCATCCATGGCAAATGGAATTTCATATTCTAGCGCTGTAGCGGACGTGGATTTCTAGCCTAGCCGAGTGCGAAATTATTCAAATAAGCAATATAATGGCATGATCGTCACGCGCCTTAAAAAGTATCGGTGCCGGGGGATCCAATAGAATCTATTAGTTTATTAGGATGACAGCAAAATTTGAAGAGCAGTGCCTGCTCCCTAATGCATTTACGCTTTATACAAATGGTAATCAGGTCGAAGATAATAAAGCAATCCCTATTCCAGGTTAGTTTGAAGATAAACATACGGACATCTGTTGGTTAATCAGCTGCAAACTTGTGGTGGCAGAGCTAGTTGCATACGAAAGGTTTTGGCTTGACAAACTATCCCGTGATATGTCGCAGTTCAGTAATGTAACTCTGCACCTATTAGCCGTGGGCTTGGCCTCAATGAAAAGGACAAGTTGACGACCAGAAAGCCAAACTTTCTAAATGTTTTTTTTAAAGATTCGTATACAAATTCCACCATCACGAATCTCGATGTTTGGCATGACACTCATGGCAGCTAACGACCGCAAGCCACTGCTATTTGGCCAAGTGGTCAATAGGCAAACGGACATCATCAAAAGGAAGAAATAACTTCGTCGCACACTGAAATACGTGAACATTTGTTTGCACCAGTAACACTAGGCTGTTCCCTAAAAGTGTTTACTGTGCAGTATACGCATTATCTATCTCTGTTGCGCGCTCGTCAAAGAAAGGTGTCCGGTACTTAAAATGTCCATCACCTCTACTGTGGTGGTGTTGCAATTGCGCTAATTTATCGGGTTTAAGCTTCATTTATACCGTGAGACCGGCCTCTCGAAGGACTATACTTATGATTCAGTGGGACGCTACTGCGAAATCTGTGGCCTAACATACTTGTTTGGTTCGATCGTCGCGAGCGACGATGTCCCCCACTTGCTTCGTAAAGTACCGAACGCAGCATCAGTCACGCTACTTCCTCCTTAATCTACTTGGCTTTGGTAACAAAACGGAGTCAAGAAAACTGGAGCTAGGATATGGCACTGCGGCTGATAACACTAGACGTTCCATGCACGACCTGGTTCCTACCGGATGGAGCAAGTTGTCTTAGCAAAAATGACGGCTTGGGTGACATTTGACTTGGACTGCCACAGGGGCTGTATTAACTAGGTGCTATTGCAACCTAACACGCCTCACTACTCGGTTGAGTATGTTCACCTACGTGATAAACTGGATTTTACAATCCGTGCTCGCAAATCCTCTCGTGTTACTGTAAGTCGTTGTCCGTGTATAAATGACATTGACTACTTTGTTTATATGTTGGCCCTCAGGACTTTCCAGAAATGTAACATTTCGCGTCCTTGACAAACCATATGGTTGTGAGGGACTTTAAAATAAAATCCTTTGTGTTTGGGTAATTGTCGCTGTCTTTTTCATTTTAAGATAACAGCTCGTGGCAGAGAACAAAATGCCTTGATTCAAACTCTGTTATCTTAGATTTTTTTTAAAAACATGTAACATAGAAGTAAGATTAGCTAACAGATAAATCAGATCCGTGTGGCCATATTCCAACTTCTTATTAGCAGTCAAATGTATTGTGCCTCCCCGAAATCCAACTATATTGAGTTAGTTCATAATAAGTAGTCTCAGGTTATATACGCCCTCCGGAATTATTTCAACAGTGGTACTGACGCTCACCCTCCCGTATTGTGTTCTGCTCTTAGACGCGGTTAACTGCGTCCTCCTTATTTTCCTACTTAAACAGTTAATGCGTTTGCTGTATTTGACAATACTGGTTTATGATGATAGAAAGTTACACATTGGAGTCAGATTGGTCGTTCTGAAAGTTGCCGTAACATATCCACACACGAATAAGTGCCACTTGTTTTAGAGGGTATTGTCAAAAACAACTGATGACCACTAGGAACCAGTTTTCACAAAAAACTAATTAATTGTGCAACAAAGACTTAAGGCCTTATTTTGTCTAAAGTTGCGTTCTCTGTGAAAACCGCTGTTCCCCGTTAGTTCTTCGAAGTTGCCTACGCGAAGCAAACACGAAAGTTCGACCGTCGGGTTCAAAGATTTCCACTGAATCCACAGAATCAAGAAGCCTGGAGGTGGTAACCAAGGCAAAAATATTGAGTGGAAAACAGATCCAAGAGCATAACACATATTTAGTACCAAATTATTATGTTGCCTATCCATTTTATTCTTATTTCAACTTGACAATTTTCGGACTTCGTCGTTCGCCTGATGTTTTGCGCCATTTGTCTTTTTGAAAATAAACAGCGCACTTTGCGACAACTTACTTGGCCGATTTTTGTTTCAGCGCGTTGATGGGTACAACATTATCACCAACAAACAAGCCTTGGCACTAGAGGAAGCCGGACCAACTGCAGCTGCACCAGGAGACCTTTTGGCTCCAGAGGAAGTTTTTGAACCGCGCGGTGAACCCATCAAAGGAACTACAGAGGTCACTTCGACAGATAGAAGGCGACACCGGAAAAAGTTAATGCGCATCCGAGCAAAACAGAGGGAGGCGCGAGCCAAGCTATCCTCACGTACTAACGATCGCCATGCTGCAATGGACAAGATAATAAAGATGGCTCATAAACCCGGATCGAAAATAAAGATTGCCAAATGATATGTAGACAAATCCTTTGTGTAAATAAAATCTTCCAACAATTTATTCAGCTAACTGCCGATGCAAATTTATGTCGACGAACAACGTGACACAACTGCAGCTCGGGGCACGTAGGTAGACAGAAGTTCTTGTCCATTGCCGCGTACTTAATCGTATGATTGCGCTGACCGTCTGATTTGACAGTCTATTGAGTTAGCCTTTTTTAATACAAGGTCTTATTGATGATTACTAAATCAAAACACTGTCATGCGGAAAACAGATTTAGCAAAAATAAACAAGGTTGGGCTATCCCAGGTATTATTGTGATCGGACGCCAAGTATGGACGTCCTAAAAGCATTTTCCCAAAACCTGTCGAACAGGCAGTTCTCTTAACCTAGTTAAGTAGTCAGGTTAGGCTTTCTCTTTTCGTTTTACACCACTAGGTCGGTCTTTAGGTTGCAGGCATAATGAGTGTTCAATTTACCCGGTGGGGTTATGATAGTGCGTACCCACGTCACTGATTCGACTGCATCCGCCCTACCTGTTCAGTGGTTGTTTTCTTAAACCGTTCATTCTATAAGCCCAGTTTTAAGTTCCATGACTGTGTTAGTCGAACTCAGTTTTTTAAATCTCCTTGAAACCGTTAGATAGACACCCCTTCAGTTGGGAGGCCAGTGTAAGCTATATGCGACTTTGCTGATCTTCATAAATATTGGTGACTGCCCTACACCTCATACAGCGGTCATGTGCGTTCGTTGAATGCGGCATTTTATTTCTTCAGCATACCCTGATTATCTCATAATTTGAAGAGTTAACACCTCATACAAACTTAAATGGCATTTCCTGTTTCATAAAACTCCCTTTGCTTGTCATTTCCCATTTATGATGAAAGTGACATTATCACAGAAATCCAAGCCAGTCGGTTTGCTCGAACATAGTCCTATTACTATATTCACTATAAAATTTAAGGAGCAGTCCATGTTGCCGTTTATGCTACAGTAGTCGCCGGTTATTAAGCCCACCTCGGGCCCAGACCAAAATGGGCTTAATAAGCGGCTGGGCCTATTAACCGTGAGCTTAAAAACCGGCGACTACTGTAATACTATGTAACCGCCAGAGGGCCATCGTTTTGACGTACACTAACTATTGGCATTTTCGTCATGAGTGATGCATACACTAAGTGATCTACAGTTCGTCGGGCATTTCAACTTTTTTTCACCAGACATCACTAATTCCTCGGGGGAAAACATGGCAAAGCTGCACAGGACTGATGCCTAGCTGGTATATTTGCAGTCCTTGTCCGCCATCGGATTAGGCTTGTATGTGTATGTGGGTAGTTAATTCCACTGGCTTTGTTTCCATAAAATATCATCCCCGACAAGCCTCGAATAGCGTAAGTACGTAAAGTTTTCATTTCCTTCGTACAGTAGTCGCCTGTTATTAAGCCCACGGTTAATAGGCCCAGCCGCGTATTAAGCCCAA